CCAGGGGCACAGATGCACATGTAAGTGCCGATCAGGTTCTTGCAGATCATTCCTCTGCTTCCACAGTCATCAATCCCATCCTCACACTCATTCTGATCTGGAAGACAGAGACATTTGTTTATATTCATACTAATCAATGGTTCATGGTTTCCTGTTTGGGTGTGGCGCTGGCACAGACCTAGGCATGACCGTGATATTGTGAGGAAATTCAAAGCATGACATTAGACGCAATGCAATCCTTTATAAAGTCAGAAAAGCCATGTAACCCACTTCATGCACAGATTGTTCTTGGCTGACATGTTTAAAAACCGAGCTAATGTTCTGTTTATAATGAAACATAAATAAAAGCGGTATAGCTCCAGACTGGACCAGCTGTGGTTTTTAAACGTTATCTGTTTACATCCACGGCCTTTTCAGGTCTGCAAGGAACACGTGTCCAGAGATCCTCATTTCTCTTCCTTTATAGACAGAAAAAATACTCTCTCAGTCTGTGTTAATATAGGACACCTTTACTTCGGGTCTGTCCGTTCAGACACAGCGCCACAAACCCTGTAAAGCACAGAGCTGCTGTACCTTTGCACATCCTCCCGTCCTCACGCAGGATGTAGCCTGCGGGGCACGTGCACTCATACGAGCCCACCGTGTTGATGCAGCGGAACGCACAGAGCAGGGGATTCTGGGAGCATTCGTTCACATCTGGAGGGAGCGAGACAGAAGGTGTACAGACAATTTAGTCTCTGTCTTCACAAGCTGGTTTGTCTCAAGCTGGTTTGTCAAAATATCAAAATTCTCCCTGACTCACCTTCACAAGTGACCATGGGCCCAGGCTCAAAGCCATCATCACAGCTGCACTCAAAGGCCCCAACAACGTTGGTGCACGTCCCATTACCGCAAGGGTTGCCCACATCACACTCGTCGATATCTTGGGGGAATATATGTTCCGTTTCATGGGTAACGTTGAAGCAACCTTTCGAGATCAGGCCGACTCACACCTGCCCCTTACCTTCACATCTGACGCCGCTGTAGTCCAGCCGGTATCCAAAGGGACATTCGCAGCGGTAAGACCTGTCTGTGTTGATGCATTGCCCGTTGTTGCATATGTTAGGGTTTGTTGTGCACTCATCTATGTCTGAAACAGAGAGGAAATGAGGTGTGGCAGTACCCCCTTGTGGTCAGTCTGTGTCACGGGCCATCAAAGACACCTTACCTATTGGATTGTTGTCTTTGTCGGTGGTCTGACCAACTGCGGGGCACAGCAAAGCAAATGCCTCTGGAAGCAAAAATATCAGACTTTATATCTAAATATCTGCTGATCATTCATGACATACAGTTGAGCCCAGAGCAGCAGCCAATCACTTTCCCCTACTCTCTTCACTGCCATGCTTTCCCTGTCCGCCACTCACCATCATTCATGTCGGGACAGATCTCACAGGGCTGTCCCCAGCCCTGTCCTGGCATGGCACTGCAGCAACACTCTCCTTTGGTGGTGTTGTGGGGCTTGGGTGCCAGGCAAATGCCATTTTCGAATCTGGTGAAGCAGTAGTTAACGCGGAGATCTGGGTGGGCAGAGGAACAGTTACGACATGTTAGTTACTGTTCACTGAACTGCTGATACTCTGTCCAGCATGATGAACAATTACATTTGCTCCCATTTGTTCAGTTCAACGCTTTACTGTTAAATTTAGTAGCTAAGTACATTTACCGTTAATTTCAGTAGCTAAATACTTTTCCAGTTTTTAACTGAAACCAAGGACAAGAATTTGTTCTTTTCTGTGCTTGTACCTTTGCTACACTTCCCACACAGATGACCTACAACCTCTACAGGCCATAAAATACATTCACCTGGCTCAGACTCAATGGAAAAATGCTGTGTTATGGTTCCCTTCTCACCGATTGGTCAGCATTCCCTACGTAAAAGAGATTTATATCCCACACCGTCATTCATGACGGCTCCATGAAAGCAGAATGGCATGTTTAACCATGAAATGTAGCATTACTCAAAGAGATGTCATACCTTATGATAACAAAACCTAAATAACGCAGCCTGAAGGACTGGAAAAGGCGTTCTGGAGCTGTTTATTAGCTCGTTACTCTCATAATTTCTATGGCCTGCTTCTCATTTTCTGAGCTGCGCTCTCCCACCCTCTCGCAGTCCATCTGTGTAAGGGTAAACCAGGAAATGTAAACATTTCCCCCCTTTTAGCTGATGACATCAACGCAAGCTTTGGCGGGGAACTCCCAGCCGTGTGAGTGAACAGCCCCTTCAGCTCAAAAGGTGAGGAAATGGAAAAACCGCAGCGTGCTGAGGCCCAAGAGCAACACGGAGCCTCAGACTGAGACATCTGGGCAGTGTTAGCTGCCTCACACCCCTGAGAACAAGATGAAACCCTCCTATTGTACAAATCAAATGTTATAGGCTATTTTTCTGCTAACAGATGGCTAAGATTGGACTGCATGTGTGTGAGAGAAAAAACTCTATATTATATCATTTTCATATCAGTTTTTTACAGTTTTCTCTGCAAGCCTTATCTATACCACTATTCCCTTCTTACTGTCTTAACTACACTGCTGAATGGCATAGAAATTAATTTATTTTATTACTAATCCATTCAGCTTAAGATAAAAAAAGATTCAAAGAGTCCCGGAATGTGTCAGGTGATCATGTCATGTGACCACGATTAGAGAGGTGAGGCTGGCTTACCAAGGCATCTCCTTCCAGAAGGGGAGAGAAGGAAGCCTTCTGGACAAAGGCAACGGAAGCTGCCTTCTGTGTTCGAGCAGGTCCCCAACACGCAGAAGTCGGCGCTATGCGCACACTCATCAATATCTGCAACGTGAAAAGAGTGTCTCAGTCCGGCGTACACAAATAACCCCGTCTTCAAAGAGATACAGGCAGAGACGGCACTTTATTGACCCCTGGAAGGAAATTAGGACATTCTGGTAACAAAAACTGAGATGCACATAGGAAAAGAGGCAGAATACATAAGATTACAGATAAATGTACATATTAATAAAATAAACCATAGCTACAAGAATACATAAATGTAAAGATGAGAATTTACTCCAGTCTCTGTGATACTCCATATATTATATTACAGTATATATATATATTATATGTGAGTGGTTCCCCCTGTGCTTGGGTGGGTTTGGTTTCCTCCAGGTAATCTGGGTCCTTCTCACTGTCCAACATGCAGTTAGGTGAACTGGCATTAGTGCTACTGTATGTGCCCTGTGATGGACTGGCTCTGGAACCCGTCCCTCAATATGTGGTTATGGATGGATGGATGGATGTTAAGTGCTACCTTTTCGGCACTGTAATGGCCTAATTTTACATCTGTAAAGAAATCCAGGTGCTGTCAATCTACTTTCCTTTTATCCTGTACCCCAAAATCCATAACAGGATGATTGCAATAATACTGCTTATGTGTGGCTCTGCACGCAGGCAAACAGCAGGTGTGCATTTCCTGCCTGCGTCAGCAGAGCCTGGCACCCTTCAGAAATCAGATGCGATTTCAGCATTTACAGCTATGGTCGCGTTTAGCTGCAATTTAATCCCAACAGGTGCATGTCTAGCAGACCTTCCTGTCGGAGAAGGGTTTCATATGTGAGGTATTTAGCTTGTCAGCACAGGCCAGAGCACATTTGTCGAGAAGGGAAGTTTATTTTTTTTTGCTTTTCAAACAGATTTTTTTGGATTTGCTTAAAAAACACACTAGAAGGTCTAAGAGCCACGTATGCAAAAATTTGAGCTTCCAAAAAGTATTGGCTTTGACCTACAGCGTTGTTTGTTTTATAATTTAAAGCGGCACTACGTTTTACGGGACAGGTTGCTAAGTGAATGCTTAGCACACTAAGCACAGCCAGGGGCATCAAGCAGGCTGCTGTGGCTGTAAAGCGGCGTGACGCACACCGATCAGAGTGACGCACACCAAGTGGCATGATGCACACCAATCAGAGTGACGCACACCAAGTGACACGATGCACACCAATCAGAGTGACGCACACCAATCAGAGTGACGCACACCAAGTGACATGATGCACACCAATCAGAGTGACGCACACCAATCAGAGTAACGCACACCAATCAGAGTGACGCACACCAAGCGGAGTGATGCACACCAATCAGAGTGACGCATACCAAGCGGCGCGATGCACACCAAGCGGCGTGAAGCACACCAATCAGAGTAACGCACACCAATCAGAGTGACGCACACCAAGCGGAGTGATGCACACCAATCAGAGTGACGCACACCAAGCGGAGTGATACACACCAATCAGAGTGACGCACACCAAGCGGAGTGATGCACACCAATCAGAGTGACGCACACCAAGCGGAGTGATACACACCAAGCAGAGTGATGCATACCTACCTTCACATCTCTCATCAGTCACGTAGTAACCGGATGGGCAGATGCACCGGTAGGTGCCATCGAGATTCTGACACGTTCCTGGACTGCATGTCCCCGGATTCACCAGGCACTCGTTTATGTCTGTATGAGAAAGATGATCCAGTCGTTACACTTTTCCAACTACAGTCAAGTACACCTCGCTGCAGCTTGCGGGGTGGGGCGGGGCGAGATGTGGACGGGGCGAGATGTGGACGGGGCGAGATGTGGGCGGGGCGAGATGTCACACAGTGGCCTTATATGATGAAATACCCATACACTCCCATACTGCAGGTGGTGATAGTTGAAACAACATGCATGAGTCCAACAAGAATGAGGGAAAGCAACAATTTTCACGTTACGATGGATAACTCTCCAATAACTGTGGGATTTTTGTTTTGATGGTAATATCACACCCACAGATATGCTCTTCAAATGATTGAGTCTAAGATGTATACAGATATAATTTAAATGTTACTGTTTCTCATTACCAGTATGCCCTCTACTTTGTGATGGGAACACAGTTTGATTTTACTGAGGTATGTTGTGGGCAAAGTGAAGTGTGCTTTACCAGTTCACGTAGTCCTTCAAAAACTGAAAATTTTGTTTCTGCAGATGGACATGCACAACATCAGAAAATTGTGGTGCTTAGTACTTCTGAGGAACTTCCCTATGCTGTATGTATTCATTTGGACACTACGTGATGTGTGCCAGCTATGGCTCTGGATGCTTGTTTGGGTTTTTACTGTAAAATGATAGGTCACAGGAAAGTAGAGAGAGACAGGAAGAAAAGGAGAGCTGAAAGACAAAAGGTAAGTATTTTGTGTTGCGTATCAATGTAAGTGTAGAGGGTCGAGATTTGACCATAGAGTCACACTACATGTCTTTTTGAAACAGGAAACAGATGAAGAACCAGCCCTAAAGAAGACTGCCAGCATGGTACTCAGTAGTGATGAATCTGATTGGGTGAATTCTTTTTTTTTTATATATATCCATTTTATCATACCTGTACTATACTAGCAACAGCAGATAACAACATGTTTTTATATAAAGATGATCATGTTTGCAAAAGTTGGTATGGTACTGCAATGCTCTCCTAATAAACAGGCACTGGAAAGAAAAGAAGAAATGTTTATGTAGTAATTAATTCAATATCTGTTTTGTAGGCTGATGAGGCACCAATCAGTTTCACTTCAGATCTCTACATTCAGAGGCTGGAAGTCAGTAGCTATCTGCATTATAACATAGTTAAATTAATCCCTGTTTTTTGCAGCACACTTTGTAATTTTCCATCACTAATTTAACAACAGGAACAAGCCCATGAAGTCCAACAAAAGCGGAAGCAAGACTGTTCTGTGCTTACTGGATACATTACTAAGAACTATAATGTACGACAACACCTTGAAGTAAGTGTAGCCAAGATGGAAATTATTTAATTTAATTTACTTTTTATTAATCTTCATATGAATTGTTATTAGGTTTTTGCAGTATTGTGTAACATCCCCCTTTTCTGACCAGCTCCCATTCATTTCCAGGCCCATCTGCACAGGAAAGTTGGAGTCTCCATGGGAAACAGAAAAAGCCCAAAAGCCGATGGTTCATTTTGAGGATGATGAGCAGATGGATGAAGTCTTTGCATTTCTGTCTGGCATTGTGAAGAATACGGCTGAAGCCAGGCAACTCACGGATGAGATTTCCTTCATCCTGGATGTGCTTCTACCAGAAGTGCATAGATACTTATTAATTATTTATGCATATTTCTTCACATTAATTATAACATTGTAGTGACTATTTTATTAAAATTTGTTTTAAAGCCATGTTTTGATTTATTTTATTTAATAACTGACTTGTTTGAATCAATCTTTATGCTACAGGCAACAATACACGCTCTTGCAGGGGTACACTCCCTGTCTGAAGAAGCAGCAAGGCAGATGTATCTGCGTGGACCACAGTATGAATGGAGGTAAGATTAATATTTAGAATAATCTTGAATGATGTTTAAAGCTGAAAATTACCAAGATATTTGAAAGTATTTCAATGGTTATAACTTTGTAATATCCTTTCTTACCAGTGAAAGAAATGATTTGACAACCAGGTTATCAGGAGTTTAAGAGGAACCTGAGGAGACACTGCTGTTTACTCTGTTTGATTTTTCTTCAAGGATTTGTAAATAATGTAAATAAAATAAACCATTTCCCCCATATTTATCTGGGTTGGTTGTTTCTGATGTGAATTTAATGGTGTTTGTTGGAGAGTAAAATAACATTTCGCACACCTGTAACATGTAACAAATTTGTATGTCTTAATTCAACTTTAAACACTACCAAACTTTTAAATAACAATATGAAATATTCTGTAATACACTAGAGCTTTCATTGATCATGTACGCTGGGTGTTCTTAACACAGTTGTTTGTAGCAACTTGAGGAACGTTATTGCATAAAAGATAAGGATCTTTGAAACGGTGAAAGCATTACAGAATTCTAATGTATGTATGCTATTAAACAATATAATAATCAAAACTTTATTGATAACATGAAGAAATTCTCTTTTATGCCTCCCCCAACTTGACGCAGATAAATTCTTAATAGTGTATGCGCTGAAGAAAAGAATTTTTAATCTTGAATTTTTTTCAGAAAATTAATATTTTAATATATATATATAAAATATTTCTCACATCTGGATTGCAATATATCATACGATAATTAGGGTATATATACAAACGTATGACATGTGAAAGAAGCGCTAAAATCTCATAAATCGGTGAAGTTTACACAATAGTTGTAGTCAAACCAATATGTCTTCGCAAGGCTGCCATAGTTACGGAGCGGAGTTTCGAACTGGTCCTGCCCATCCGCGTACCCATATAAGGCTACTGTGTGACATCTCAGTCCGCCCACATCTCAGTCCGCCCACATCTCACTCCGCCCACATCTCACTCTGCCCACATCCCAGTCCGCCCACATCTCAGTCCGCCCACATCTCACTCCGCCCACATCCCAGTCCGCCCACATCTCAGTCCGCCCACATCCCAGTCCGCCCACATCCCAGTCCGCCCACATCTCAGTCCGCCCACATCTCAATCCGCCCACATCTCAGCCCGCCCACATCTCAGTCCGCCCACATCTCACTCCGCCCACATCTCAGTCCGCCCACATCTCGCCCCACCCCATCCCGCAGGCTGCAGCGAGGACCTTCTCACTACAGTCCTGAATGGAAGACATGCAACCCTTTTAAAAATCCTCTTTGTTGTGAAGCCTAGTCTTTTCTGCGCCCAGAAAAGCCCGCTGACCTTTGCACAGATAAACAATGAACCACTAAAGTGTAAATAAATCTAGGTTTCAGAACACAACACGTGATGCAACTTGCATAAGTAAAACCACTTTACATGGCGCAACAAGCCATAAAATTGGCCGTAAAATGAATCAGTACAACGTGTTATTGTGCAAGTCTACAAATGACATTTAGCTGCTTGGTTGATACATTTACCATTTACTTACAGTTTTTACCCATCCATGATGATCCAGACACAGATACCTCTTTAAATCTAGGTCAGAACCTGCAATTAACCTTTTGTATAAAGGTCAAAGGTGTTCAGTTTGGCCCTAGATGCACTGCTTCTTTGTGATGGCCTATGTTTTTGCTGAGAGAGACAGAGAGATGCAGAGAGAGAGAGACACGCAGACAGACAGGTTCCTCACCTACACAGATCCTGCCGTCGGCCGTCAGCTCGTATCCTTCACGACACACGCATGTGAAGGAGCCCAGCGTGTTGATGCAGTGCCCGTTATGGCAGAGGGTCCTCTGCGAGGAGCATTCGTCCATGTCTGAGAAAGGAGGTGTGGTTAAATGGCAGCCGTGACAGCAAGGATGGGCAGGGGAGAGCTGGCGATATGGCAGGTCAGACCACCGACCTCATAGGAGATGGCAAAAAGAGAGGGAACGTTGGGGAAACGCTCACCGATACAGTCGTTGTTGTGGGACAGCTCAAAGCCAGGGTAGCACAGGCAGTTGTAGGACCCCACTGTGTTCTTGCAGATCCCGTTCGCACACGGCTGTCTTTCACACTCGTCCACATCTGTATCCGACAGCACAGATATGTCATGTGGCCCAGCCTTCTAGTATCACAGGCCTCTACTATCGGTTCTGTAGGCCTGCATTTCCTCTTCTCTATATACATATATCTATGTTCACTGTTCATGCCTTGAGCCAGTGAAACTCACCTATACACATAGACAGATCGGGAGTGGCCTTGAAGCCGTTTGGACACACACATTTGTAACTGCCGTCAGTGTCATAACACTTCCCAGGATTACAGATGCTGGGGTTCTCAATGCATTCATTGCGATCTGAAAGGGGAGGAGAATGGTACAGTAGGTCTTTGGGGGTTAGGGAACCCTGGTCCAATGTGATGTAACTGAATAATTTAGCAACAACAGGAATAGGAAACTATTACAGCCAGAGCCTCACTCACTCACACACACACACACACAATATGCTGGAGCAAAGTTTAATACATAAAACTCTTGCTTAGAAGCGAGCAACAAATCGATGAATAACAGTTTTGAATAATATCCAATGCTTAAAATAACTTAAATCTTTCTCTGCTAAATAACAAATGTTCTCATGTCTCAATTTTCCCGAACAAGTGACATCTAAACAACCACAGTCAACAGACAATTTCTGAAATATTATTTAACCTAGTAGATCTTTTCGGAAAATCTTGACTAATCACTACATTATTAAAACTGCTGTATGCATAGGAGACAAGAAATGAAGTGTTTTGCTCTTTGCACTACTAAAATCTTCAGTATTATGAAAATTTGTTGTTCAAACTCTATCACTGCAAACTCTATCATTGCAAATCTTATTTTCTGCAAGTCCAGCGTTAGACTGAGGAACCACATCCACAATACATATTTCTTATGTTCAGGTGCCTCTGCTCTGCTCAGCAGGATAGTGGAGGATGGAGAGCCTTCTCTAGGCTGAGGACGCACCCAGGCACTGTCCGGTGGGGGTGAGACGATAACCCTGCTTGCATTCGCAGCGGAAGCTCCCCGGCAGGTTCAGGCACTCTGCGTTGTGCTGACACACCGGCCCGTTCTGGCACTCGTCGATGTCTTCATAGGACACACAGCAAGACATGAAACTCATCAGGTCACAGACATGTGACACGCGAGTCGGCTTTTGCCAACATCCGAGAAAGTTCAGAATTGTCCGCTTCCCAGTGAACGGGATGGACACGGGGACTGAAAAGCAGGAACCGACCTTCGCAGATGAGGAGCTTGTCATTGTAGATGAAGCCTGCCGGACACTCGCACCTGAAGCTGCCGATCATGTTGATGCAGACCCCGTTCTCACACACACCTGGAATCTCTCGGCACTCGTCGATATCTGACAAACAACAACGGATTCCTCACAGGCAACTATACGCTGTACACATATCAATGATAACTGTTATGAGTAGCATTAGTGTATATTAGGTGAAGTTTACAAGCGTTTTCTTTACCAATGACCTGTCCGGTGTAAATGTCAATGTAATATCCAGGCCTCTCACTGCCACACAGGATGGTGAAGTCATCTACAGAGCGAGAGAGCCAGCAGTGGATTAGTGGGCCCTTGGGGCTTCAGCGAGTCCTGCTGGTCGCCCCGACACCCTCCCGGGTGCATGACTCACTGGTGCTGGGCACAGGGCACTGTTCGCACGGCTTGTTCCAGGCCCGGCCGATGTTGTACGAGCAGCAGCACATCTTCTTGGTCATGTTGAAGGCCAGCTCGCCGTCGCAGGTGCCATTTTCCGAGTGGAAATGCCGGAAGCACAGGCTCTTTCTCATGTCTGGAGTCAAAAGACAAAGAAGAAAAATAACCAAACTAGGCGACATGCAGACGCTGTCAACACGGGCGACTTCTTGAGGTCTTCGACAGCACCGCCTGCCTATAAATATGGCTTCCAGACTGACTGAAGCTGGTTTGAAGAGCGGCCATCTTACCCATGCAGTTGTTTCCACCGTTGACCTGCATGTAGTCCGGTGGGCAGATGCAAGTGTAGTTTCCAATGGTGTTGTAACACTGGCCCGGTCCACAGATCCCTGGTCTCTCGCATTCATCAACATCTACGGCAACAGTCATTCATTCTCTACACTGCTGACCAAGCACGTTAAAAACAACAAAAGCCATTTTGCCTGTTGATTGTGAAACTTGGGACACATAAGCAGATGAATACAGATTCTTGATTCCTCTCCAGTAAGAACACTCCACTGAAAAGACTTAAGTACAGTGAGTTCTGTCTCTCACAGTACGGTTTTCTGAATTCTAAACTATGTATTTAGCAGAGCTTGCCCTTGTCCAGGCTTGGGACCACAACACAAGGCCCTGTAACTGCTGTGGGTTGCCTTGGGCTCAGCACAAGGGCAAATTCAACCACACTGCTACAATTCCTCAGCTTGTGTGACATGTTGGTGCAGGTCTGGCAGTAAAAATGCATCAGTTTTTGTCAAGACGGGCCGCATGACAGACCTGGTCTCGATTTCATTTCAGTTAATGATCCCCCATTTTTTTTACCTTCACAGATTCTGGTCTCCTCGTTCAGTTCAAAACCCTTAGGACATTCGCAATGGAAACTCCCAAAGGTGTTGATGCAGGATCCTCCTTGGCACAGGCCTGGAAGTTCCTGACACTCGTTGATGTCTGTCAAAAACAAAATGAGGAAGGACAATCTCCAAGGGACACACTCTACTGCACCTTAAAATTGATCCCCTATAACTGCATTATGAGAGCAAAGGCAATGAAGATGAGTCTCACCTTCCAAAATGACAGTGATGGGGTTGGGCCGGAATCCTTCCCCTCCAGGACACAGGGTTTTGTATACGGCTGAAGGAGAGCATGAAAATTTAGCATAATAGGGGCTGTTCCCCATGTCACCTAATCCTTATTTCATGTTATTTAACGACAGCCAAAATAAAATACAATAAAGTCAAATACAAGAGAAACACAGCGTGAGTACTAATGCTATACGATACACATATCTGTCATCTACTGTTCAGTACACCATTTTCAGTTCGGTACACAATGAAATGAATGAATATATTTATTGACACAGGTGGAACCAAAATTGAAAAATAAATGTTCAACACTAAAAACATTATTCTGATTGTAGCTGTGAGGTGGTTACTGGTTATGGGCAGTTTAGGAAAATTTAAGTGGTCCCAATAATTAATACCAATACAGAAGAGAGAGTACTTAATAGGATCAAGACTGTTTGTCACCTTGGTTATGTTGCTGGAAACACATCCAATATACTAACTCATTAGAGATTGGTGTGTTTATGTCCAGGGACGGCAGAAAT